GGGTGGATCTGGTGTGGCGGTGGCACTGGGAACGAAATGTCCCTCTTTCCCTAGATGCGAAGGCCTCTTGGTTTGCCCCTCCAGCCCCTTGTGCATCCTGGCAGCCCTCACCACCAACCGCCCACACTGTCACCACCGCCACAGGAAGAAGGAGTGACAGAGAACCTGCCGGCAGAACCCGTCCTTCAGGACAAGCTCTCGTCGCATTCCCCAGACGCTTCTCAGCAGCCCACTGCGGACCAGTCACTGCCCCCTGCTCACCCTCATCTCAAGACCCACGTAGGTGACTCAGCTTCAGACCGTGTACAGTTTCTCCGGCAAATCTATAGTGAGAGCTGCATGGGACTGGGTGCTGTCCCTGTGAAGAGGTGTAGTCGGGTGCAGAACCTCCGTGGTGACCTAAGTGACCGGCATGCAGTCACACCGTTGGGGGCCCTGTCTGCAGGCAGACGTGCCAGGCCCCCACCTGCTGCCGCCCCATCAGCCAGTAGCCTTGGACACTTGGCATCCTTCTGAGCCTTCGCTTCTCTCCCCGTAAAAATGTACAGACATCAGCTCAAAGGGTTGTTTCCAGGAGTAAATGAGACAGTGTTTCTAACGTGGCCTAACCTCAGAGCCTCACTGCTCCTGTTAGAACTGTCTGTGCTGAAAGGAACGAAAGACCTGATTTCATCTGGGGGTTATTGGCTTCTGTAACTAGACACTTAGAAGATCGTGTGGGTTTCAGGGTCGCTATGACTCGATATTGTCATCAGAAGCCTGGTTTCTTGTCTTTCGAATCTGTTTTCTGTGGCTCCGAGTCACTCTCGGGCCGGCCACTGTCACCTGGCCTTCAGCCTCAGGTCTACACTGTACCATCCAAGGGGAGAGCATGTCCCATTCTAAGCAAGAGTCCCCAAGTTAACCCTGAGTAAGAAGGGCCTCAGTCACATGCCAGTCTCTAAGGCGATGACAGGACCAAAGGAGGGCAACGTGCCGACTGGCCTGTTAGGACCTCCCTCCTCGGAGCCCCTGCTGACATGCGTGGCTGTGTGGCCAGTGGGCTGTGGAGAGGACAGCAGGGTGCCAGGTGGACACA